CCTTCGCCAATGGGTTGTAATTCAGCAAGAGCGCCTCAGGCTGCTCAGATGCACCTCCATCGGGCATGTTGTGCAATGGTTGTGTGGTCTGCCGCGTGAGGTCTGCTGCTGTGCGCGTGTATGTCGTGCTGGCACTTTTTACCCGCGCGTGCGCGCGCGCTGCATTTCAAAAATACATGACAGTCCAGCAAAAAATCCGCTGACTAAAATCCGGTTCCTGTAAGAAGGGTCGTACGTTTTTCCCAGCCGGATTATTGTCCGGCCGAAAAAATCGATTTTTCAGATCAAGAATCCGGTTCTGTAAGAAACAGCCTCACAAGCGGTTTTTCTCACGGGAATATCTCACGAGGCGGACCAGTTAACTCCCTCCGTGGAAAAAAACGCTCCGCGAACTACCCTGGTAAATCCCGGCTACACAACCTTGCACTTTGCACAACCTACAGCAGTTGTACTTGTTTTTTGCTTCCCCGTCCGCCAACGCACGTCTACAATATATGAAACGCAATGAGGGGAGAAGACCTACGGTCATACCACGAGGCAGGTGGCTGAGGCTGAGAGAGGAAGGCGCTTTACAATCACTGCTGATGAACGCAAAGCCAAGCACTGCTTGAGGGAGCAGTCCACTGCTGCAAAGCTGCAAAGTGGTGTTACCCGATAGTCTTGCGAGGGCTTCACTCACCTCCATGGGGGTCTTCGCGAAACGACGTGGTTCAACGTATCCGAACAAGAAGCAGCCGGACAAGTGAAGAAAGAGGCTGGATGCCCGAGCTCTGCGTTCGCGGCGTCTGGGCGTCACAGGCGCTTTTCTCGCAGGAACGGTCGCAGGAACGATCTGCAAAAAACAAAAAACATGAAATTCTTAGACGTTGCGCCCTCTGCCCCCAAACCCCAAAAGGCCGTGCTGTTTTCTGTTTTCGGCTTCGGGAAAATTGCCCTCTGCCCTTGCGCGAGCTTCACAGGAAACAAAACACTCGGACAGGAAACGAAGCCCCCACCTAGTCCTCCTTCTCTCTCCTTCCTTCTCCTTCTGCTCACGCACACATGTAACGGTGTGGCGAGATGAGGGTTTGTCATGTCAACGAGGAACAAAGACTGCTGTGACTAGATGGTTGTTGTTGTTGTTGACTTCACATTAAACCGTATGCCAGTTGCTAAATGCCAAAATCTAGCAAAGACTCTCGGCCCGTGGTCACGAAAGTGCTAGAGCCATCTGAGGATCTAAAGAACACGCACACGTAGCAAGAAAAAGGT